CGCGCACTTTGTCCTCACTCGTGCGCGCCCTGAGAAACTTCCCAGGGGGTCACCCATCCCAAGACTACTCTCGTGCAAGCACGCTTAACTTTGGAGTTCTTGGGTGATGAGCTCCCTTAAAAGGAGATGCACCTCTGTTGGTATGAGTAGTACTATTAATCCTCTTAAATTAATCTTGGGTATTACAATCACCCCCACTTAGGATCGCAACGTCCTCGTTGCGCCCTTAACTATCTCAATCAAACCCCAGAATCTTGCCCCGCTAAGTGCCCGCCCGACATCTAACGGGTCAACACACTGTCGCAGGGTTGCTCTGATACCACCTGTAACACCCCGACCCCGTAGGCCCCGAGGTAGTTACTTCTGACCTCTAGTACTGTCCTCACAAACCGCCACTAGACTTTTCCGCGCACTTTGTCCTCACTCGTGCGCGCCCTGAGAAACTTCCCAGGGGGTCACCCATCCCAAGACTACTCTCGTGCAAGCACGCTTAACTTTGGAGTTCTTGGGTGATGAGCTCCCTTAAAAGGAGATGCACCTCTGTTGGTATGAGTAGTACTATTAATCCTCTTAAATTAATCTTGGGTATTACAGCCTCCTCCAGCTGCGCAGCATGCTTCATCGCTTCAGAGTTCTTGCGAATCAGCCCCTCCACCTTCTTATCTTGCTCGGCCTCGTGAAGGCGCCTTTCCTCACGCCTCCGGGCCTGTTCCCCGAGGGCTATGCAGGCCTGCAAACAATGATCAAAGGAGTTAGATTATTCCCTAGAAAGAAAATACTAAATTGATAAGAGAAGGAAACAGGAAGTAGATACTTACAGTGAGAGAGGACCGGAGGATCCTGTTCTCGAGGGCATCATCGTCGTAGGTCTCGAAGACTTCTCTATCCATCTTCGAGGTGATGCCCCGCAGGAAGGCCCTCGGCTCGGCAGTACCGTGCATCAGTGAAGCACCGGGGGCAAAGGAGAGTTGACGGATCTCCCGGGGTAATTCCTCCGGGGGGAGATTCACCGGAGCCTTCGGGGTGACCGAGGCCAGAGGCCCATCAGTGGAGGGCATGTCATCAACAATTATGAGGGGGGCCGCCCCCTCAACGGCGCCCCCAGCGGCTTTCTGCTTCTTGGTAGGGGGCTCCACCCCCTTACCACTCCTCTTCTTCTTCACGGCCGCCTCGGCCTTCGACCCCCGGTCCCCTCAGCAGCATTGACATCCTCAGCAGAAGGCTCTACGACCTTCGGGAAAAACGCATCGGCTGGCTACTGGCCCGAGGGCCCTTCCTTCTTTGCCTGGGTTTTGCCCTTCCTCTTTGCAAACAGAGCATTGGCATTCATCTTGCTACCTGCAAAGAACGACAACAACAAGTTAAAAGGTTAGAACCGAGGGGTCAGAGACACAACGACAAACATGACAAAAAATTTTCTAAACATAAAAGCCGTATCCCTCGGCCACTACCTCTTGCTCCCCCGAAGGCTTTATCATAGAGGGGATACTTCTCATCGATCTCCTCAATGAACCGATACCTCAGGAATCCGAGGGCATATAGGTCTTCTTCGAGGGTGCACTCCTTGATGGTTATGTTCTTTTTGCGACCCTCCGGGATCTTGGCGAGTTTCAGGCCATCCTTCTCTAGGGTGATACTCCCCACCTTCTCGTGGCGTCGAAAGCGGTCCCTTAGCTCCCTCGGGAAGGGGTTCTCGGCCAACCGGACATAGCACCATCTGTCTTTCCAGCCCTTGTTGGACGAGGGCGCCTCGGTGAACAACTTGAACTTCGCTACCTGCTGCAAATTGGCGAAGCCCTCGGCATTCGCGTGCCCCCCTCGGCACAAGTTGAAGCTTTGGAAGAAGAGGTCCAAGCTTGGGGTAACATCCCTCGTCCGGCATAGGTGCAGGAAGCCAGCGATATATGAATGGTTGTTGGGGGTAAGTTGGCAAGGGATGAGTCCAACGAACCTGAGGTACTCCCGGAGAAATGGGTGCAGGGGGAACCGGAGGCCCATTGACACCGACAGGATGTGGACGACAATACATCCTTTGGGTGGCTGGGACAGCAAATCATCGACGCCTGGCTCCACCACTTCGGCCGAGGGCCCAACGTGCAGCTGCGTGACGTACAAATCAGCCCTGTCCGCCTTCGATTTTATCTCCAAGGCAGCAGTATTGAGCCAGGAATACCCCTCCGGCATATCTATGGGTTTCCCCTGATCGGCGGCAACGATCTTCTTCTTGGGGGCAGCTACCATGGCCTTCTTCTTCCCGGGGGCCACCCGGATGGGAACTGCGTTCAGCGGCTGAGAGGTACTGGCCTCACCAGCACCCCGAGGGGGAAGGACGGCCACAGTAACCTTCGCCCTCTCCTTTTCCTCTTCCTCCTCAGCAACTTGGACGGCGAGGGCCAACTCCTCATCTTCGGCGGTTCGCTCGAACTCCTCCGCCTCGGCCTCGGCCACCAGATCCTTCTGCACCTCGGTGGCGAGAGCTGCATCACCACCATCCGAGGGCTGACTGCTACTGGACTCCACGTCGGAGATACTTTCATCCTCGACCGAGGGGTCCCTCGAGATGTCCAGGGAATCGCTCGCGGACGACATTTTTGACAAAGTACGCACCTGAGGTTTCGAAGGCTTTCTACAGGACTCTAACCCTAATCTAAGGCCAGAGGGCGGAACTTACTAAAAGTTTTGAGAGGAAAGCAGGACACTGACCTTGAAAGCTGAGTTTTGACCGGGGGCTTGAGCTTTCTCTCTCTAGAAAATTTGGCAGAGCTTCGCTAACGATATCGGACGCACAAGGAGAATGGTTTGGCCATGGGGTATTTATAGACTCCAGAATCCGGGCTTGGGCCCAAAAACTGGGCCTCCGGCCAAGCGTCATCATTACACACCGTCGTTTCACCCAACCGGTGACGCCCGCCCACGAGCAGCCAACGGCTACACTCCACGTGTACCCCCCCAACGGCTATAAACCTGACGTTACATATTCCAACGACTATATTTCCAACGGCTATATTCTGGAAGCCCCCGGGTTTTCTACTTCACTCCACTTCATCAAGGAGAGCCTCCGGGTACACTTACCCAGAGACGCCCCCGGGTTGTGCCCCACACAGCACATAATAGACGCCTTCGGGATCACTCCTTCAGAAACCCAAGGCTTCATATCAGGGCACCCCTCGGGGATTCCCCCTCAGCACTGTAAGGACCGAATCGCCCCCGGGAAGTATGCCTCATTGACGGACAGCATACAGCATGCAGGTAATGGGAGCCCCCGGATATCCCCATCACCAACTAATCAACGAGCAGGGGACCCCCCGGTGACAATTCAACTACTGCCCTCATCCATCGCGCCCTCGATCTCCAGATTGAGGGGCTCCCCTTCGGCTAATCAACAATGGGCCCTCAAAAAAAGGAGAGCCTTCGGTTAATCAGCACATGAGCCCTCAGAAAAAGGAGAGCCTTCGGCGTTACCGTTATTCTCCATTTTTGACCAAGGTTTCACATTTTCGATTCATCGTTGGGGGAATTCGGTGCACTCTTTTTCCCTCATTAGGATTTTTTCCCCCAGGGTTTTTTCCTAATGAGGTTTTTAACGAGGCATCCCCCCAAAATGAAACGAAAAGCGTCGGCCTTCGGCCCACAACAGCAACGCAACTACTCTACTCCTTTTCACCACTTTACAAGTGCCTCAAGGAGTGGGGGATTGGAGGACCCCCTCGGGAAAATCATTAAATTACAAAATTAGTGAAATTCCGACAAACGACAAAGCAAGCCCTCAAGTCCCGACATGTGGGTAACTGAGGGACTGCCTTCGGAAGGGACATGCGAGCAACAAACTCCTCACCAAACTACATCGGAGCAACATCAAATGACATACACAGTTTACTCCTTTTCCCTCAAGTACCTTTCGGCAAAAGAAGTGAGGGACTCCTGATGGAGTATATGGCCTGATGGAGTATATGGCCCGGGAACCCCCGGCCCACAGACTCGCACTACTCCAACAAAGGCCCAACAAGCCCAAGAAGCATTACAGGCCCAGAATTATAACGCCCCACACACAAATCAACCCTCAAGGCACATTGGGGTGCCCTCGGTCCCCTGACCGAGGGCTCCAAACTATCACAGCATGGATAGTTCGAACAAACAGAGGAACTGGGAGAAAACGGCGAAAACAGTAGCCCTCGGCACCTGGAGCCCTCGGCACTCAGGGTCCTCGGCACTAAGAGCCCTCGGCTAGTCCTCTGCAGCCGAGGGCACTACCTCTCCCGACATAATATCCGCGCCACATGCGTACAGATCACCGTACCCTGTACAGACATCCCATCCAACAGCCGCATTAAATGCGGCCACATGCGGCTGCCAACGCCAACCAGTTGAGGTGGCCTCTCGGCCAATGGGCGCTTGACACGTGTCCCTGTCCGGCATTTATTGCTACTATAAATAGCACCCCATTTCCCCATTTGTAACCACGCTAAAAATGCTCCACACTTATAATATACTTTCTTTCTCTACATTTGCTTGCTCTGACTTCTCTCTTATTACTCCCCGTAATAACCCCTCAGATATATACCCCCGGGTATCAACTATCCATCAATATATATATATATATATATATATATATATATATATATATATATATATATATATATGTATGTATGTATGCGGCCACCTGCATGTTTCTTTTAGTAGAAGATTGAGCCAAAATGATTATTTGGTCAGCAAATCCTAATATATAAGAAAGGCAATAAGAAAATTTTCAGTAATCTCAAAAGAGCAATAAGAAAATTTGTGAAGTTCCCAAATCAACTGTATGCACTGATTTTGTTCAAATTTTTGAATGCTGGCTAAAGTGATTGGATCGACTGATTTTGCTGATTTATGTTAAAAAAATATTCAAAATATATTTTATTAATAAAATAACGAAAAATTATATGAAAATGGCTAAAATGATCTCAAAAGTAATATCAACCTTTTTTTACTATTATTTAACCTCAACAAGGTCACCAAACGGCTCTTAAATTGCTCTTAAATATTTTGTAAAAAATTGAAGTAAAAAACAATTTCGTGCATACCAAAATTAAAATACCTATTGGGAATTTGTCATTCCGATTCATTTTTAAAATGGAGTGGGTGCCACGTCTTGAATAGTGGCATCCGGAAGCAAAAAAATAGTAGTGTCGTGAATAATAAAGTGGTGGGATCGTTACTATTTAAAATAAATTAAAATTGAATTTCATTTGATAAATTTATTTCAGAAGTACCGATTATTTTATGAAAGAATGGCTAAAATATTATTTGTGGAATTTAGATGGACAAAAATACGAGTAATTTAGGTTTGGACAGAAAAGTGACCGTCCATTATTTAAAACTTTTGCGCTTCTCCTTACTCCCTGTCGCTACTTCTTCTTCGCAGACCTCTGTGTCGCTTCTTCTTTTCTTCCTCAGAGCAGACTCGCAGACCACTTCTCCGCCTATATACACAGAGCAGTCTTCTCAGCCGCTGCCTCTCTCCTGTTGCAGCCACCCTCCCTCCGCCGCAGCGCCTGAAATTGGATAGCTATGGATCAGATAGTTCGACGAAATTTCGAAATGATAGCTATGGATCTGATCTAAATCTCGCCCGATTAGGGAGGCCACGATCATCTCATCCAATTGACTGGAATCTCAGACTTTCTTCACAATCCTAATGATTGGATCATAGAAGCTGAAGAATCTCAAGCAAATTCTGAAAATCCCTGTAAAAGCAATGTTATGTTGGGATCTGAAATTTCGATCATAACAGGTCAGAATATCGCCAGATTATATGTTTAAATTCCAGATTAATTGAGACGATTTTGTTGTGTTCTAACACCCCCGCTGCAATGACTCAACATGGAATAATGCCTGAAATCAGACAGAAGTGGTGGCAGATAAGGAGTGGAGGTGGCGGCATGGGTTGGTGAGGGGGACAACCGTGTTAACAGCGGGGCGCTGGAAATAGTAGTCTGAAAAATTTTCTTAGTGACATTTTGACAACGTTTGACAACGACCACGGTCCAGTGACATTCAAAAGTGACGTATAAATATAGTAGTGACATATGAAGTGACATAAAATTCTGTCACTGACATAAAAAATTTCACAGTAACAAAAAAAATCGCAGTTACATCAACTTTCACCAAATATATAACCTTGTTAGTAACTTTTTTGTCCTTTTATAAAAATGATCACTTTTTTGGAAATCGACTTTAATTTAGTGATATTCAAGAGGAAAAAACCCTTATTTTATTTATCTTAATAATGGATTGAGCACGGTTAAAAAATAAATAAATAAAATACTCCGTGTGATTGGAATATAGGAATCCGAATGTTTATTGGTGACAAATCCGGTACCCATTTAAAAAATGGGATACCGTATCTATCACTCACTTGATTGATACAAATCATTGCATCATTTTTAATTTAGATTTAAAAAATTCACATACATCATTCTGATTGGTACATGTGGACAAAAGTATGATACCTTAAAGGTACGATAGAATCTACTATGTTTATATGTATAAAGCAAGGATAGACTAAATAAATACTTCCTCCGTCCCAAATTATTTTTCAAAGTCAATATTTTTTGGTCAACCAATAAAAAAGTCAATGCTCCCTATCGATAATTAATTCCAATTTTAATAATTCAAATTTATATATTCAGAAACTATATTAAGATCTCTTCAAAGTTGTAAACTCCAAATTAGAATATTATTAAAAATTGACATCCTAATTAAGTAAATAAAATGAAATTGTTTGACCAAGAAAAGTAAAATTTGTAAATCAATTTGGGAGGGAGGTAGTAAATAAAATATGATTGGAATACCCAACTCCGATTAGATAAGTTTAAAAATGGGAAGACACGGTGCCAAATAGGTTTGCCTGAATCCTCTTCTTCTGCGTAGTTCATTCGGAATTGAATACTCCCTTCCGCGTAAATCAAGAAACCCTAAATAAAGTCCCGTGTTTTTACAGGTTCTTCCCGTAAATTAAGAAAACACTGGAGAAGAGAGATCAGAGATGACGAGCACGGGCTCTTCCTTCCACTTCCCTGGAAGTTTTATTCGTCTGCAGGACTCGATTGGGAGTGTTAGAATACGCAAAGAGGTTTGTGTAAGCATAGATGAGGAGACGCATGAGAGATACTATTATGTAAATGATTGGAAAACTTTCAATATTATAAGGAGTTTCGTTGTGGCCATCGACCCTGTTGGCTGCTACTCCTACTCTTCTGCTGCTACAAAGAATATCATCACGGTCCACAAAGGTGCTTGTACCACAACGAAATATGGCAATAAGACTATTGAAGCATGTGATATTTTAATATTGTACTCCGTAATAATTTAGTATTAGTTTATACTATATATTTATTTAGGCTATATTATTGCAACTATTAAGTGCATGGTTCATGCAATAGAAACAATGTTCCTTCCCTGTATTATAAATACACATACGTAGGATGTGTATAAGATAAGAGAGAAGAGTTATTGTGTGAAGCATTCTCATTCGTATAAACTTAGCATGCTCCCAGTGAGCTTTATTTCTCCATCTTCAATTAATATTAATTTTATCATGGTATCAGAGCCGAAATTCTGGAAACACAAATTCTAGTTTTTTGTTCTCTTGTTTTTTTTCTTCACTATGGCAGTTGGTGATTCTATCAATAAACCCAGCTATGAAGCTTTGGGTTGTATTTCTTTTGCACAAGTAAATATGGCATATACATTGCCACATTCTCGTCCTTGGATAATTGATTCTGGAGCTAGTGAACATATCACTTGTAGTGATATTAATCTTTTCAATATCATCAATCATGTGTCGGAATCCTCAGTCACAATTCCCAACGGCGAATCAATTCTGATTCATGCTATCGGAAGTTTATACTTACCCAATGGGCTGCGTCTTAAACGTGTTCTATATATTCCAAAATTCCAATGCAATTTACTTTCAGCTAGTCGCTTGACAAGTGATCTAAATTGTACTCTGACATTTTTCCCAGACTTTTGTGTTCTGCAAGACGTACCATCCAGAAAGCTGATTGGCGTGGGTAAATTCCGTGATGGTCTTTATTACTTGGAATCTCAAGAAAGTGAAAGGGTGGCAATGTCAGTCTCTATTAGTTCAGATATATGGCATCAACGGTTGGGACATGCATCCGATGGAAAATTACAACATATTAATTCTCTCAAGGGTTTTCGACAGAGTGATAATTTTTGTGATCCATGCATCCGTGCTAAGCAGACTAGACTACCATTCCCTACAAGCTCCATTAAGACAACTCGCTGCTTTGAATTGATACATTGTGACATATGGGGAGGCTATAGATGTGATTCACTCTCTGGAGCACGGTATTTTCTATCTATTGTTGATGATTTTACTAGAGGTGTGTGGGTTTATTTAATGAAAAATAAATCCGAAGTTTCCCAATTATTAATTCAATTCTGCAATATGGTTGAGACCCAATTTGAGCAAAAGGTGAAACGAATACGGGCAGATAATGGTTTAGAATTTCAAACCAACAACTTATTTGATTATTATGGATGGGCCGGAATATTATTAGAAACATCATGCACTTACACACCACAACAAAATGGGGTTGTGGAACGTAAGCATAGACACATATTGGAGGTTGCAAGGGCACTACGTTTTCAGTCCGGGTTACCTATTGATTTTTGGGGAGAATGTATTTTGACTGCTGTTTACATCATTAATAGGCTTCCGTCACCCATCATTTTTAACAAAAGTCCTTTTGAAATGCTATTCGGGAAAGTGCCTACCTATGATCATTTGCGTGTATTTGGATGTTTAGTATATGCACACGATAACAAACAAAAAGATAAATTTGGTGAAAGGGGAAGTCCTTGTGTATTTATCGGCTATCCACATGGCCAGAAGGCATATCGAATTTTTGATTTACAAAAACACACTGTTTATCACTCTCGAGATGTAACTTTTTATGAAGAAAAGTTCCCTTTCAAAATTTGTTTGGATCAAGAACTTGATTTTCCCTCACTTGTCGACAAAGCTTACAATCAAATTTTGTGCCATGAGTGTCCTACACGGCCCCATAACAGCTCACCGAGTAGCACTGTACTTCGTACGATGGCTATACCCGAACAACCTTCATCTGGGCAGGACGTTTTCAGCCTCACACCGGCTGAGGCAGTCACCTTGGAGCCTGATTTATCATGTGAAGAGCAGCCAAATACGTCCCACATCGATCAGCCACAACATTTGTCTACCTCTGGTCCTTCACGTGGAGCAGCATGCCTTGACCACACATGTAACACCGACCCCGAGCATATTTACTTTTAGTAAATTATGTAATAAACCTTGAAAGATGGTTGATGAATTTGCGTAATTGTAAATTTTTATTATTTCTTTTACGTGAATAGTAAATTGCATGTGGGGCCCACAGCGGGAATGTGGACCGCCCGATAATTCCCGAACCACATATTATATTCATCTTGGTGTAGATAATATGTATATAGTGGTAGGTATCTTATTTGGGCCATAAGAAAGGCATGGCGTTGACCGGTTGGTCAAACGGGGCCCAATTACCGGTATTGGCAATTTAACGGATAACAGCCCGAAATGAGTTTCGGAGACTCCTAAATTAATGTTGGGGAATATACATCCATTCTAAATGCCCATAATTATTGGGAACGCGGGATATATTTTATCCGGTCCGATAAAATAAAATATGACTAAAACAGTCCGAAAAATACAACTTTCGGGGCCGATTATACACATCGGGGCATAAGGGGATGACCTCCCACATGAGTGGGGGCCACCCCACGACCCAATGTGCTGCAAATGACAAGGAAGCAGCTGGAGGGAGTGTACCTAGTAGGTGGGAAGTCTCCAAGAGACAAAACCCCTACCCACCATTACCCTACTCCCTTATTTTGTGGGTTGACTTAGGTGGATGGTGTTGATCACTTATCCTACCATTTCCTCACCCATCCACTCGGCCAAGGCAAAGAGAGAAGCTCTAGGGAAGCCTCCTTTCATAGTCCAAGCAGCAAGGAAGAGAATCCAAAGAGAAGAGGGTTGTTTTTGAGGTAAGAACTCAATAAACAATCTTTAACTAGTTTTATTATTGTATGATTTTTAAGAAATCATATGGTGGATTAAACCATGAGTTCTACACGTTTAAAAGTGTAGAATATTGATATAAAGTGGTGGTAATTAACTTAGGAGGGTTGGCAAATCGATAGGAGTCGAAATCGCCGGAAACCGCCACTTCAAAGGAGCTAGTCGCAGTTGCAGACCACGAAAGCCGCCCGGCTTATGCCCAGGCAGTCCAGTTCTGCCTTTCAATTGGCCTAGAACGGGGATTGATCGAGGGGCGTAACAAAGGCAACTATTGCAGCACATCACGAGGTGAGGATGGCTCACTATATTGCTTATAATTAGGGAGTTAATTTCATAAGAATGCCTAAAGTAATTAGATGGGATTTTCATGGACTATTAAGGATTAATAATGTCTAAATGAAAATAATATGAATATGAGTAAGTGAAGCATGACATACAAATTTAGATTAATTGTGTAAGATTATGTGAAATGAATGGAATGGCATGTTAATGGAATTACTAAGATGACATTGTGATAAAATATCCTTTACTTCATGTATGAACTTCATGAATGGATTAAAGTGATATTTTTGATATTGAGATTAAACTATACTTGGGTTGAGAAATCAATGGAAATGAAATGCAATATGGGAAATAGGAACTTGGCATGTTCTAAGGTTATCCTATTAGTATCAAAATACTAGTTGGGGAATTAATATAAATAAATGATGAAATAAATCCTAAGAGGTAGGATTGTGAATATGCCTTAAGTAGTCTCAAGAGATACTTAAGGATGAATGACATGAACACTAAGGAGTGATTAGGGGTAGGCCTAAAGGCCACCTCCGGAAATTGATTCTAGGCATAGGACTTGCTTGAGAATTGGATTATGAAAATAAATAGAGTTGGACTCTAGGATGACATGGAGATGTAGTTGGGCCGAGCCCATGCCATGTAATATGATTAGCATGGAAACGTAGTTGGGCCGAGCCCTTGCCATGTATATGTGACCTCCGTGGAAACGTAGTTGGGCCGAGCCCTTGCCACGAAGTTATGGTTGGTATGGAAACGTAGTTGGGCCGAGCCCTTGCCATACAAACGTTGATATGATACATCGAGTTAGAGGATTGTATAGAGATGTAGTTGGGCCGAGCCCATGCTATACAATTGGGGCTCGATGGGACCCCACGGGGTTATCGTGACTCGCGGTCACGGGGGAATGGGAACGGTGAATTCTAAATGAATATGGGCCTACGGGCCGACTACTTGACTTTATGTAAAGTAAGTACTGTTAAAGGTAAAAAGGGGTAACTGAGGGTTATGGCCTATAATGTAATAGTACCCTAAGTCGGGGGGTCTTGGAAATTAAAACGTTGATTATACTTAGTATAGTTGCTATTGTACTTGTCAAATATTTCCAAGTACTGACCTCCCCTTCACGGGGGAGGCCACCTCACAGTTTCAGGTAGGACTTGAAGGTTGCTACCGGCGCCCGTTGTTTCAGGGTTTTTCCAGGGAGAAGACGTGGTTCGTGCTTCTTCTGTTTCCTGTTTTCAAAACAATTATAACAATGCTCATGGATATTGTTTTTGAATAACTATTTGGAGCTTGTATGCCCATGTTTGCCAAAGTGTGGCTAAGACATCTTTATTAAATGCTTCCGCTGTTTTAAATGAATGGTTTACATTATGCTTGTTTATGGATGTCTATGTGTGAATGGTATTCAAGATGCCTTGTATAGTATGGATGAGTTGGACTGCGGTTGACTATTCGTACTGTACGGCGGGTTGTTGACGTGTCCGGGTAGGTCCGGGGCGTGACAATTTAATTGGTATCAGAGCCTTAGTCCGTAAACATCATAATGAAGCTTCAAAATTTCTTTTTGAAAACGAATTTGAAAACCATGAGCATAAGGTTTTGTACTTATAGAACTTTTGGTACTTGAGTTGCAATGTCTCTAATTGTTAAGATGGTACCCTTAGCAATTGGTATGGCGGTAATTTGAGCCAAAGGATGTCTTTAAGTACCTATCCGTCAATTGACATTTGATACGAGTCTAATGACTCATTCTCAATTTCTTTCAGAAATGGAAGGTACCGGGAAAGTGACTAGAAGAAACCCGACTGGCCGAGCACCGGGAGGATCCGTGCAAGGCAGTAGAGGGGCTTCTAGGGTGTCCAGAGGACAGGGTCGTGGAGGCCAAGATCGGACCGTGAGTGACAGTTATGTGGAAACAGTCAACGAGAACGAGTCCTATGAGTCCGAGGAGGATTCGACGTATCGACCGGGAACTGAGCCGGTTGAGACCCCATATGATAGGGAGTATGATGAGGACAGTGAGGGGAGCAACGATGACGACGCTCTAGAAAGGATGGAGGAACTACTCCGTCAATTTCAGCAAGATCGCCAAAGGCGCCGGGCAAGGCGTGCTTTGGGAGGGGCTTCAAGAAGGGGAAGCCATGCGGGTTCTAGGGGACATGTGGAGTCCCGAGTAGATCGAGGTGTCGAGGTTCCGATAATAAGGATCTCGAAGTACCTCAAAGAAGCAAGAGATTTGGGGTGTAAACCGTTCGATGGAACGGGAGATATATCCGTTGCGGCGGAGTGGATCAAGAGGTTCAATGAAGCGGCCCTTGATATGCAGCTGCCGACAAACATGAAGATGAGAGTAGCAACGAGGTTGCTAGAAGGGATGGCGTCCACGTGGTGGGACGGTGTCAAGGGGAAGTACGGTGAGGCCGTAACTTGGGAGAATTTCTGACAGGAATTCTTCAACCAATACTACTCCGACTTCGAGGTGAACTTGAAGAGGAGAGAATACACCAACTTGACCCAAGGAGGCAAGTATACCGTGAGACAACTCGAGCACAAGTTCAGGGAGCTCGCGGAGTTCATACCGGAGTACGCTTGTGATGAGAACCGGATGGTGAATCACTTTTGGGATGCTTTAGACTTAGACGTGCGTGAACGGGCAACACAATTGCCTAACATGACGTCCAGTCAAGTGGTGGAGCAAGGCCTGAAAGGGGAGAAGGAATGGGAAGAAAGAAAGCTGAAAAACGCCGAGGAGGCGAAGAAGAGGAAATGGGAGAACACCGGCCCCCAAGGTTCTAACAAGAAGGGGAACCACGGGGGAGGTGGGTCTTTCAGAACGCCCGCACCACCATCTCGGGGAAATCAAGGCCCAGGAGGGCAAGGCTCGAGGTCACAAGGCTCGGGCATTGGCAGGTGCAATAACTGCAAGAGGAACCACACGGACAAGTGTCGCAATCCCCCTAGGTTCTACCAATGCGGGGAGACGGGGCACTTGAGATCAAACTGCCCACAACTCGGGCGAGCCATGGGTGCAGGGCCTAGCAGTGGAACTACGGCAAGTAGGAACCGAGCAGGGGCACTTCACGCGAGCACGGCGCACGGAGGGCCAAGTACAAGCAACGCGCCATCCGTGAACCAAGGCAAGACCCAAGCTAGGGTCTATGCGATGACGGAGGCGGACGCACGTGCTAACCCGGACTCCGTTGCGGGTAAATTCTTAAACTCATGTTATTAGTCTATTATGAAAAATAGGAGTGTGGGACTTGTAAATTTATAACCCCGACGAGTTTGGTCGGGTTGAAGGGAAAAGGGGAGGAGAATCCTCACCCTGGGCAGAAACCGTCCGGCTTTGACGAAAGCCGCCCGGCTTTCGTCTTGATTTAATTAGGATAATACCACGGCAACGAATGCCGGCCGGCTTCCACCGAGAACCGCCCGGCTTTCGTCAAGATTAAATCAAAAATTCCTCGCAACCAAAAACCGGCCGGCTTTTGTAAAGACCGACCGGCTTTCATAAATGCCTGACCTGGGGAAATTTCTCGTAGCTGAAAGCCGCCCGGCTTTGGCGAAAGCCACCCGGCTTTCGTTGGGCCTGGGGATTTCTGCGCTGCTGAAACCCGGCCGGGTTTCGTAGAAACCGGCCGGCTTTGAGACCATTTCCTGAACAAAAACTGCGGCGACGAAAACCGGCCGGCTTTCGTGAAAGCCGCCCGGCTTTCGTGATTTTCATATGAGAATTTTTCTCGCAGACGAAAACCGGCCGACTTTCGTGAAAAGCGGCCGGCTTTCACCTGGGTTCGTCCTAGAGCGGTTCTAAAGCTTAGAAACCGGGGAATTTTCGGACGGGTGTCAAACGAACCCCACCCGAACCGCGACCAACATACTCTACGACTTAGGAAACAAGCCTATTAATTAGATAGTGTGTTATACATTACTTATGAATGTAGGAACACTAAAGATAAACGGGAGAGACGCAAGGATCCTTATTGATACCGGGGCGCAACGATCATTTGTGAGTGAGGCGTTCGCCAGCGGATTCAACGG